AATGGAAGGAGACCCTCAGGGTTATACAGCGGAGGGGGTAGAGAGAGAGGTGGGGAGGGGAGGGGAGAGGTGGGGAGGGGGGAGGGGGGAGGATGGGAAAGGCAGCAGAACACAACAGACACTAGTATGGCAATATGTAAATCAATGGATGTGTAACTGATGTGATTCTGCAATCTGTGTATGGGGTGAAGGTGGGAGTTCATTACCCACTTGAATCAAAGTGTGGAATATGATATGTCAAGAAATTTGTAATGTTTTGAACAACCAACAATAAAAAATTTAAAAAATAAATAAATAAATAAAATCTATTTGTCTAATCATCTAAAAAAATAATAATAATTTCCTTATTATCTGTTATTTACTTGAAATAACTCATCTGTAATATGCTTTTCTTTTAAATATTTCATATGTATTTTATTTATGACCATTTAAAAAGTGAATTGAACAATTTTAGCATATATTTGAATGTCTACTGTATGCCAGGATCTATTGCAGGTACTAGGGCTATAGCATTTTTTAGACATAATTACTTTATTCTTTATGTATTGTGAAAATTAAACAGATGTATTTCTGATTAAGAAAAGGTCATTGTGGAGAAAAGTATAAAATGAAAAGTTTAATTTTCTGTTTCTTCAGCTCTGTATCCAGTGTTAAGATTTGTTGACTGTCCTTCCTAGGAAGAAATTGTAATAATTTTATATATCCTTAAGAAATTACACAATGGAATCTGTCATTTTTTGGATCCTTTTTTTTTTTTTTTTTAGCTTAATCTATATCTTGAAGATTTCAAGGACAGTTACCTTTTTTTAAAAAAAACTAGGAAACTGCTAGAAATTTAAATGCGTAGCACTTAGAAATAGGACTTTATCTTTTCATTCTTCTAAATTTAAACCCTACCCCCAGTTCCGTCCCCATCTATTTATTATAGAATAAAAAATCATGGAAAACACTTTAATAAGAAATCATAAGATATATTGGACATGATAAAACTTATCTATGGAAAAATTACAATTTTAAATTGGTATACATATCAGTATTTGTTTTTTGTAGGCATTGTTGGAGACCATGTTTGGTGTAAAAGTGGTTATAACAGGTGATGCCTTTGTACCTGGAGAAAGAAGTGTTATTATCATGAACCACCGGACGAGAATGGACTGGATGTTCCTGTGGAATTGTTTGATTAGATACAGCTACCTCCGATTGGAGAAAATTTGTCTCAAAGCCAGTCTCAAAAGTGTTCCTGGATTTGGTAGGTTATTCACACATTATTTTAAGTGGTACACTCATTGTACATGTGTATACTCACTGTAAATCTATAACTTAGTAAGATAAACTCACTATTAAAGCCATTTGTATTTTTTTACTCACCAGGACAAAAATAACCCCAGTTTCCCTTTTCCCTAATAGAGTTGTTATGCCAGGTAACTCTATTCACTTTTTGAAATATCTTATTCTTTTTTTACTTCAGTTGTTTGGGTTTATTTGCAATATTTTATTTATCCATTTATTTATTATTTTTAGTTATACATGATAGTGGAGTACATTTTGGTATAATTAAATAAGCATGGAATGTATCTTATTCTAGTTAGGACCCCATTCTTGTAGATATACATGATAGTAGGATTCACTGATGTTTTCATACATGTACATAGGAAAATGATGTCTCATTCATTCTGCTTTCCTTTTCCTCTCTCCACTCCCTACCCTTCATTCTCCATTGGCTAATCTATAGAACTTCTGTTCTTCTCCTCCTCAACCCCCTTATTGTGGGTTAGCATCCACTTATTAGAGAAAACATTCGAACTTTGGCTTTGGGGGACTGCTTTAATTGCGCTTAGCATGATTGTCTCTAGATCCATCCATTTATTGCAGTTGTCATAGTCATTCGTATTTATGCTGAGCAATACTCCATTGTGTATATATACCACATTTTCTTTATCCATTCATCTGTTGAAGGGTACCTAGGTTGGCTCCAAAGCTTAGCTATTGTGAATTGATCTGCTATAAATGTTGACGTGGCTGTCACTACAGTACACTGATTTTAAATCCTTTGGATATATAGTGAGGAGTGAGATAACTGGGTCAAATGGTTCCATTCCTAGTTTTTTGAGGAAAATCCATATTGCTTTCCAGAGTGATCTCACCAATTTGCAGTCCCACCTGCAATGTATGAGCATACCTTTTCTCCACATCCTCGCAAACATTTATTGTTATTTGTATTCTTGAAAATTGCCGTTTTGACTGGAATGAGATGAAATCTCAGTGTATTTTTAATTTGTATTTCTCTAATTGCTAGAGGCGTTAAACAATTTTCATATATTTTTGACTATTTCTTTTTCTGTAAAGCACTTGTTCAGTTCCTTTGCCCATTTATTGATTGGGTTTGAAATATTTTACTCTGAAAGAGGAAATAAACTATTTTCAAGGGAGTGAATCTAGTTTTTGAGGACCAACATTTGGAAGGATATAAATAATAGTTGGGTATCTTTTTACTGTGTGTCATGCTTATGACTTAGGCCAGAAACTGGTCTATGCTGATAAGATATTTGAAATCAACTGATTCATTTACATTCATCTAATAAATATTAATTGAATAATTAATATCTGTTGGTTCCAAGCATTATTGTAGGTGCTGGTATTTTCTGAATTGTCCTAGTCCCTAATTCATAGTTTTTTATTTTGTTTCTTTCTTTTTGGTCTTCTTATTGTGTTTGTATATTGTAACATTCAGGCTCCTAGAGATGTTTACTTTAAATGGGTAGGAATATAATATGTTTCTTGTGCATTGCAGAAATAGGAATATTTTAGCATTGTATTGCCCCCTTTCTTAATGTGAAGTTGGGGTAGGAAACAGACTATAAACATATCACTCAAAGCAGTTATTGACACATGGGTATATGAAGTGTTCACTATACAGCCTCATCTATTATATGTATATTTCTGTGTTTTCCTTGTGTAATATTTCTTACTTGAACTATTCACCCTTTAAACCATCTGTCTATCAGTATTTTGAAATGATGTATAATTGCCAACGTCAAAGGGGAGGCATTGACCTCAGGATAAACCAGTAAGAGGGTTTGTGATTGATGTAATAAGTGTATTTGTGTTTTAATTGCCTTCATGCTTGTAATTTAGTGTTTCTCTTTGCCATTTTTCCAAGATAATAATCTCAGGGTAAGCAGGTTTCTTACTTGGCAATTGGCTTCTCTTTGTATAATAGCAATCCTAGAGAACCAGTAGAAAGCTGTAAGACTTTTTATGACCTAGCCTTAGAATTCACAGAGTGTCACATTGATAGCCCTCAAAGAGTCTAGAGAGGGAGTGTAGTCATCACCTTTTGATGGAAAATGTATATCAAGAATCTCAGTATTTTAAAAACTGACATATTTCTGAAAAGACAGATCAAGAAAGAAAAGAGGAGGCACATATTGCCAGCAACTAGAACGATGATGTCTTATGTACCACTCTTAATTCTATATGAAATATAGTAGCAGGATATTAAGAATAACATCATGCCAGTATGTATGAAGTTACCAAATCAGACAGAAAAACACAACTATCAAAATCTGAGAGTATTGACTAAAAATGAAAAAGTTTTTACAGTTGTGTGTCCAACAAAAAGAGACTACGTAAAAAGTCTTTTTATAAAAGTTTTTTTGGCAATTCATGGCAGCTACTTGATTTTCTTCACTTTCAAAACCAGTCATCAAGTCACCAAGCAGGAGAAATAAACCATATACTACTCATCTATTTCACATATCTGGGAGTCAGAGAAAAATAAGTTTAAAATAGGAAAAATAAGTTCCCAATTGTTGTAAGTAGAGAAATAAATCCCACAAGATTTCCTTCCATCCTCCCACTATGGGTACTAAGGGTGAAGAGAGAAGGCTTAAGAGTATGAGAGGCATGAACTACTCAGAAACATAAGCTAGTCATCCCTAGAAAGAGAGAGCCTAATACTAAATACCAAAATACTAAACACAAGTCCGACAAAGAAGTTCACAGCACAAAATAAAGGAAAATAATTTGAAAGACAGTGGGACCTAAAGTGGCAGCCTCCAAGACACATTGCTTCTGAGGGACAATCAGATTTGTTGAAGAAGAGGCAGCTCCCCTTAAAAGAAGGGCAGTGGAGGAAAACAAGGAGTGAAATAAATTAAGGATCCTGCAAGATGTAAGAGAACCAAGGAGTAACTTCCCCTTCACTTCTCCACTGCAAAAGTAAACCCACAAAAGAAGCAATAAACAAAAGACTTTCGTATCCATATATGAAACTTCTAAATAGAGAACAGAACTGGAAAAAAAATAATACTGCAGCACAGTACTCTGCTGAATTAAATATTATTAAGCATGCATTTGAGATTAGGGATAAAAACACTTTGAGAAACGCAAAGAATAGTAATGGGATGAGAAACAAGATATATAATGGGAGTTAGTTGAATTGAAAAAATAGAACAAAAAGAAAATCATATTAGAAATGAAGAGTAAAATTTTATGAGGTACCCAAGAAGAGGTAGAATAAAATAAAATTTAATACTTTATTGCTGGAAAGCAAGAAAAAGAGAGAATAAATTTATCAGGGAGAAGTAATTGAAATGGAAGATGGTTAAAGATCTAATATATGTCAGGTTGAGCATTCCTAATCTGAAACTTGAAATTCTTCAAAGTCTAAAACTTTTTTGGTACTAGGGTTTGAACCCAGGGGCACTTAACCACTGAGCCACATCCCAGTCCTTTTTATTTTTTTATTTTGAGACAGGATCTCACTAAATTACTGAGTCTGACTTTGAACTTGTGGTCTTCCTGCCTCAGCCTCCCTAGCCACTAGAATTGTAGATATGTACCACCATGCCGAACCAAAGTCTAAAACTCTTTGAGCTTCAACACACCACAAGGAGAAAATTCCATCCCTGATCTCTTGTGATGGGTCACTGTCAGATATACGAAATTATTTTAAAATAGTGCCTAAAATTACTGTCAGGCTATGTCTATAAGATATATATGAAATAAAAAGAATTGCATGCTTCCAGCATTATAGTAGGAGAAGCTTCAGAGACTGCTCTCTAGTGAAATTCTGATATATCAGTCATTCTCTAGAAATTGTCTGAAATATAAATAGCAAATGTAGACAGATGTCTTTGGAAAATTTACTAAGATTTGTTAGGAGCAATGAGATTCCATGGCATTTAAATAAGACCTCACTCCCAGCTCAAGCAGGCGGAGTTGCCACTCCGGACTGGTACAGCTGAGATCACAGGGCTGTCTCTGGCTTTTGCTCCCACAAATCCTCACTACCTTCTCTTGAAAACTTTGTATTTATATTACACAGGGTCTGGGCTGTTTGGGTTCTAAGAAAGCAAATTAGACTAGAGGTCATTTGGTAAAATGAAATTTTAAAATCTGCATATGAAAGATCAGTGAATTTTGGATGGAAGTAACATGATCTCATTATCATAAAATGTCAAAGGTTCAAAAGTTTCATCAACATTTAACAGTATATTTAAAATCCATATTCTCAGATAAGTATCAATTTGATTCAAATTTAAATATAGAAAATTTATCTCCTATTCTAAAATTAGCTTTATCAAACATGTTTAGGCAGAGTCTGGGAACCATTAAATGTTCTCTTTCAGTTTCATATATGCTATTTTAATAGGCTTGTCTAGTCTACATTTAATTTATTTAGGATCATATATTATAAAACCACATAAACAAACAAACAAAAAACCTGTAGATTCCCATGGGGTCATGCTAAAGTGAACTATCCACTAGAAGTTTTAAAACTTCTTCTCTTTATGAATGAATAGTTTATACTCCTTTGTCTTGGTCTATCTCAGAGTTTAGAAAATGAGGCAATGAAAAGGAAGAAAAGTGAAGAAGAGTCTAAATAATTTATTACATGGGACTCTGCCAAATACTATGCCAGGAACTTTAGGTGCCTTATCTTATTGAAAAATCACAACTGCATCTTATAGCATAGTATCATTGTTAAAGAAAATGCAATTGGAGAAAATTGAATAACTTGCCTGTTGCACATACTATAGGATGGAAATAATTTTGAAATCAGGTGTGTCTGGTTCCAGAATCAAAGACATGGGAAAGATTTAATTTTAAATAGTATGCTTAACTTTAAAAGTTTTAATTTGTGTGTATTGCACATAATAGGTACATAGTACATAGTATAAAGTGAATTTCTTGGTAATCCCTACCTTGTAGTCACTCGTTTCCTTCTCCAAAGCAGTTGTTTAC